CAAAATTGTCTTATGAAGAAAAGAATGTTTTTCCTGTAAACTGGTCAAAATTGATAAATCTCAAAGCGATAAAGCAATAATAAACGCAGCATTCACACTGCTACTTAATTGTTTGCTTTTCAGTGTATAATATACTTCAAAATATGTGTGTCAACATATAATATACTTCAACATACTATGCGTGTTACTACAATAATTTTATTCTCTATATCATATTGCTCCAGAATTTTAAATTAAAGGAGTAGGCTTATGAATGGTAGGAAGTTAAGAAAGGCTGTGAAAGGTGAAAAGCAGTCAGTGAAATGAGAAGGTGATGAAAAGAAGCTGTACTCGAATCAGATACAATATCTGACCTGTAGCTGGCACAGAAATATCCTGGGTATCAGCAGTGGATGGTCTCCATAGTCTCAGAGGGAGTTGGGTTTATTCTTGGCTCCAGAGCTTTTACATCTTGATTACTGTTGCCTTCCCTTTTTCCTTCAGGGGAGGTCTTTTTCGCGGTCCATTCAGTGCTACTGAACTTGTTGTCAGTAAATGTGTTCCCTTTCACGTACCCACCTCTCTGAGACTTAGGTGTGCTTGGTTGCAAGTTGGCTGGCTGAAACTGAGCTCCCGTGGAAGAAAGTCCTATGAGTTGTCTGTCCAGAGGCCTACCCCTGCCCTGGGGAGAGGATTTCTAATCAGAGATAACGAGCAGAGTTTTGAAAAGAATGGGCATCCTTTGCTGTCAGTCTGAGCCTTGGACTTCACTCTTCGATGTCACGGCGATGCTGACATTACAAAGCTAGATACTGCACTCTCTTCACCCACCCCAGCCCGTTCCCAGCTTCCTGTGTCCTTTCAGCCTTCTCCTTAAATACATGTTCCTCAGTTATACAGTGAAAATCTTCTTTGGGTAGAAGATTCTTTTGGTTTTGTTTGTGTACCAGAAGGAGGAATGTCAGCTGGGCCAGTTTTCACAGAAAGATAGTGTTTAGCCAGCCTGCAAACAGTTTACAGCAAGTTGTCCATTTCAGTAACCTCTGTGAGAGTGGAAGCAGAATCCTGAGCAACTTCATCATGTTATGGTGGCAGCCGCTGGCTCCCCATGGTTACTGCACCCTCTAAATTACAGCTTAGGGGAGAAGGAAGAAGTACATCCCTGAATTGCCAGTACAAAGTCTTTTTTTATGCTTCCCCTCTCCTTTTAACTGCCCTGCTGTTTGGTAGTGACTCCTAACACT